AAAAAAAAAAAAAGAAGCTAGATATTTCAACTAGAAAACAAATAAATTTTATAAACAAAGTGGAAAACCTTATCCTGCAAACGTCATTTGTTTTCAATGTTTTGGATAAGTTCTAAATTTTATTACTTGTTAAAAAAACGTAACATGTTATTGCAAAAGTTATAGCCAGTAGAAATAACTATCATGTTATGTTTGTAATTTTTATTCCTACATTTCTTAAAATTTCCCATTTTTTATTCTTGTAAAGTTGTGTTTAAATACGGAATACGAATTTTTTTATAGGATATATCAAATGGAGCGTTATTTAAAAAGGAAATAACGTTTGAAGACAGATGTTAATAATATCCCAGCCGATTCTAGAATTCGACCTTCAACTTGGTGTTACGATGTTAATGAAATAGATAAAATTCGGAGAGCATATCTATTGAAAGGACCCCATCAATCAAAAAGTCATTTGATTTGGTTCTAAATGAAGTTGTAAGGCAGCATTATAAAAAAATGCAAAATAGAATGCAAAGCTTGTAATTTTCATTGCAATATGATAACTTGTTTGAATTTTGTTATATATTATTTTTTTATAAGTTTGACCCCCTAAAAACTAAGGATGATTCCGCCCCTGCAGCCAACTGATCTATGGACGTTGCAAAATAACCAAACTCTACCAACCATCGTGTCCTCCAGAAAGGTTAATATATCAACTTTGAGATTCTTATGCGTAGGTCACATCCTAATTAGAGAGACTACAAAATAACTAAAAACCTACATCTAAGAAAACATCTTTTGCAAACAACATGATTAAGAAAATATATAAAAATATTTTTATACCCCAGATCAGAACCCTTTGTAGCACAGATTCATCGAACCACACAAAGCAATAAAGTTTGAGTATAAACCTCGTTATTCAATTCTTTCCTTACCTGCAGACGCTCGGAAACGATCACGTCCGAGTCATCCGACTCGTTATCGCTGAAACCATACTTGCCTTCGTCTTCGTCTTCGCCGTCCCTCACCACCGTCTCCTCGCTGTAGAAGTCATCCTCCATCGACTCCGTGTCGCTGGCGTCCTGCGTGTCATAGTCCGATTCCATGCTCTCAGACCCAATCCCAGAACCCTATCGCCTTATTCAAGAATCTCTCGGTGGGATTTTTATTTGGTCCGGTGAGGGGCAGGGGATCAAGAAGATCAAGACAGGATCTGGTGTGATTCAGGAATTCCACAAGAGCTGGCGTTTATGAGAAAATCAGAAAAGCGAAATACTACAGCTAAAAAAACCAAATTTTACGCAGCTGATTTTGGCCTGGTGGTTGAGCTCTTAGGCTGCTTATAAGATGATTTGGCTTCGAGTCTTTGCCTTAAATAACCTATGTCCCAAAAAAAATCGAATTTTGCATCTATTTAATAGCAACTCCTCCAGCGAAGAATAATGTCGAACACTTGTTTTTTTGGCTGGTATAGGGTGTCATAATGTATTTTTAGGTTGAAATTGATCCGCCTTCAACATATTTGATCTGAATCTAATCTGATTTGCAAACTAGGTTAGATCTTCGAATTCAAATATGAGTCGGATCTAATTCAGGTCGATCCGACCCAACACATTGACCTGTTTGGATTAGATTTTTTTTTATAATTTAGATAATAATTTGAATTTTTTTACAAGGGAATAGTGAGCACATTATTTTGCAAATATATATATATATATATATATATATATATATATATATATATATAT